GCAGGGCGCCGCTGTGCTGGTGGGCCGGGGCCATGTGGGCGCTGAGGCCCGGCTGCGACTGCACGGGGTGGGCCAGGGGGAAGTCGGGAGCGAGCTGCTGAGGCTGCGGGGGGCCCAGGTGGAAGTGGCGACAGGAGGTAGCGTGAGGATGCTGAGACCTTTGAAAGGGGGCACCTGGAGGGGCAAGGACAGAGACTCCATGAGGACCAGCACTCTCCCCTCCCCCACAGACCCCGTCTTACCCATCCCTACCCCCAACACCCGGTGAAACTCGAGACCTTCATCAGAATACAGCAATGTCATCGCTTCTGTACACGTATGCTCATGGTCAGTGCTGCCCAGTAAATGCTCTGTGCAGTATGTGTTGGAGGAGCGTTTTCTTTAATAAACAGATAAGCATCCTTTTTAAAATTAACACACTTGTTAAAGGAATTTTAAGGTACCTGGAGCAGTTTGGCTTTCTTGAATTTCTCCCATGCAACCCTGTTGACACTATTACCTTTTAAAACAGATTCTTGGAGAAAAGTTAGTCCAGCCTAGGGCAAGCTCTAAACTTCACTGGGAGCCTAAATTTCCAGCGAGAAAACAGCCAGAAGTTGTTTTCCATGCAATTTTAAGAAAAAAAAATCACACAAAAATTTTAAAGTCATAATTAAATAATGTGTTATATTATTGTAATTTATTTAAAAGCAAACATTTCCAGGAAAAAGCCAGACTCAGGCTGCATTTAACTTAGTCTTCACTATTTTCTAAATAAAATCGACCTTGATGACAAGAAAACCTTACAAATTCTTCATAAGCAGAGATCCAGCTCTCGACACTGGGGTCCTGTAACAAGGCAGGGAAGTGGACTTGGCACCTCACAAAGATTTACAGAGGCTTCCTGCTAAACGTGGCAGATTCAACACATCTCCCTGCTCCTTTCCAAACCCCACTGAAATGGGAGCAAAGGAATAAAGAGAAAATAAACAGACAAGGACAGAGAGTACAGGAGAGGTGACATCAGCAGGCAACAAATGTCAACAGATTTTTGGAAGATGGAAAGCAGATGGAGGAATTAGCAAAGCTGAGAAGGGGCAGTCAGCAAGAAGTGGACAGATCTTGCCACACGTGCTGGAAGGATCTGGAGTTGGGAGGCAGGAGGGATGGTGGTGCTGAGAACTGGGAAATGGGAGCAGTTCTGCTCGGGGTATCTCCCCTTTCCCATGCAGGGCTGTGACTGCCCTTCACTTGCCCTGGCATTTTGCAGCGAAACTGAGTCCACAAGTCTCCGAAGGAGGAGGGCAGGGTGCAGAGCCAGGCTCAAACAGGGGGTTAAGTGAGAGTCTATACATGGAACTTTGGAAACACCTGCTCCCTTCTGCCACTTGGTTCCCAAAGTCCTGCCACACAGGTGCCCTTCTCCTGCACACACCCCAGCCCCAGGCTGGAAACTGGTCCCAGCAAGAACTCTACGTTTGTGTTGGAAGTACCCTGGGAAAACACTTGAATTTCCAACTGGCCACACCCTGATAAAGCCCCTAAGTTGAAAAGTCGGTGTATATACACACACAGCTTCTGGAAGCTTTTAGTGACCCACTATTCAATGTGAACAGACAGCCAAGAACAATCAATTTCTTGAGGAAGATTACGAAGTGAAGAGAGAGAGAATATTCTAAATTTTCAAAAAGAAAAATCAAATAAACTCAGAGTAACAGAAGTAAGGCAAGGATCAAAAAAATAAATAAAGTTTAAAACACTATAATTAATATCCTTGGAAAAAATAAGATGTTGGATCCACGAAACAAACACAAGCTCCTTTAAAAGGAGCAAAGGGAAAACAGGAAAGCTCTTGGAAGTAAAAAATACATGAGGTGAAGCCTGGAATTCAGCAGAAGGGTTAGAAGATAACGCTGGGGAAATTTCCCAGGAAACAGAACACAAAACAAGGAGATGAGGAAAACGATGCCAACATTGAAGGGCTCAGGCAGGAGAGTCCACATTTGACTAATAAGAGAGAAAGAATGGAGAAAGTTATGAAAAAGGATTATGAAAACTATTTCTGAGAACTGAAGGTCAGTTTCTAGATAGAAAAGGCCCTCTGAGTGCCCAGCAAAATGGGGTGCAGGGGTGGGGGAGAACCACACACCAAGGCATCTCACTGGGGAGTAGTGTCCAAGCAGTGGGGACAGAGAGATTTTCAACCTAGAATTCTGTGCCCAGTCACACTATTAATCAGGTGTGAGAATAGAATAAAGCCATTTTCAAACATGCAGGGACTCAAAAAAATTAACCTTCTCCCCACCCTTTCTCAAAGCAGTACTGATTACAAACCAAGAGAAATGAGAAAAGAAATAGAGGTGACATCTGAAAAAAGGGGTTGCCCATGCGCACAGCTGTGTAGGGCCTCCAGCAACCATTTCAAGGCGGGCAGGAGGGAGGGCGCTCCGAAGGGGTGTCTAGGGGGTGGCGATAAAAAAATGCAGAATTACCAGCAGGTTTGGCCACATGAAAATAGTATTTGAAAGAATTTTACAATTTTATGGAGAATTTGGTAAGAATTTGTAAAACTGTCACAGAAAGCAGGCAGTTATTACCTCCAGGAAGAGAAAAAGCTGTGCAAGAAAGTGTAATTATTATGCACTACTTGGCTCAGCTGTGAGCAATATTTGTATATTAATAATACAACAAGCATTAATAAACTATTTTAGAATAGAAATGGACATTTCTTTCATAATAATACAAAAATAGACAATGTCAAAATTGAAAAACCAACAAACAGCAGTATAAGAATTCACTTAGAAATTTACTTAGTAGGTCGTGTGTTTCAGGAAGAAAATACTGGAAGAGGAGTTGGAAGTGTTGAGCTTCAAGGAGTGGGACCCGGGTGGGGAGGGCAAGGGACCGACGGTCGCTGTTTTCCTAAATGTGTCTTATATTGATGCCATTTGTCTTTGTAAATGACCTGCATGTCATTGATAGATTTTTTTTAAATCCTTTAAAAATAAATATTTGCAAAACAAAATGGAAATGAAAAGTATTTCTGATTCACTGAGCCAGAAAAGAATGATCTAGAACCTTAATTCCCATGAGCGGTCCAGATCAGTCAGGCCTCTCTGC